TTGGATGTGATTTATTGTGGTTAAATAATATTTAATTTATTGTAATTATATAATGACAATTATATAGATTTACACATAAATAATAAAAAATACCAAAACTTCAAAATACCATCCAAAATTGAGAAGCCCGGATTCAATAAACCGAATAAGGCAAATGCACATCTATTTTTGAATGTTTTGAATTAGACTAAAAAATAAGTATTAACAACTAAAAACACTCACCTTTTGTAGAAGGTGAATTGGAAATCCAGGAAATCTTGCTATCAATGGGGCCTCTATGCATCTAAGAAAACCCTGTCCAAATCCCCACAAAAAATGATCGAAATCTCCATCACGAAAATAAAGAAACTACCAGTAACTATGTAAATCAGATGGGCAGATGACGCTGGATCTGGGACCTAAAGAAGCTTGGGCTGGAGAGGGAGACTGGGAAGACAAGGTGGGCGTGATTTTGAGCCCTAAATCGAGCATGTCTGATATAATAAATACAAAACAACTAAAAACTAAAGCCGAAGATTTCCTTGTCTGATATTGCAAACGACGGTCATCCTAGGAAGTTTGGTTGTCGGACATTAGAAACACCAGAGAATCCAAAAATTAGAGGTTGGAAAAGGAAAACAAATCATCACCTCAACTTCAAAGAAAAATGGGATAACAATAAAACTGTATACTGCTTCATCTATTTCAAAAGTTTGTTGAGCTTATTGGAGATCAATGTCACTACCTTCTGCATCATTTACTAATATGGTCACTTCTCTGGTTGTCGAACATTAGAAACACTAGAGAATCCAAAAGATATAGGTTGGAAAAGGAAAACAAACCATCACTTCAACTTCAAAGAAATATGGGATAACAATAAAACTATATACCGCTTCATCTATTTTAAGAGTTTGTTGAGCTTCTTGGGGATCAATGTCACTACCTTCTGCATCATTTACTAATATGGTCACTTCTCTGGTTGTCGGATATTCGAAATACCAGAGAATCCAAAAGATAGAGGTTGGAAAAGAAAAACAAACCATCACTTCAACTTCAAAGAAATATGGGATAACAATAAAACCGTATACTGCTTCATCTATTTCAAGAGTTTGTTGAGCTTGTTGGGGATCAATCTCACTACCTTCTGCATCATTTACTAAGATGGTCACTTCTCTGGTTGTCGGACATTAGAAACACCAGAGAATCCAAAGATAGAGGTTGGAAAAGGAAAACAAACGATCACTTCAACTTAAAATAAATATGGGATAACAATAAAACTGTACACTACTTCATCTATTTCAAGAGTTTGTTGAGCTTCTTGGGAATCAATGTCACTACCTTCTGCATCATTTACCAATATAGTTACTTCTATATTAGTTATCGTGTATTCCTATGAGGTACCATACAAAATAGAACAATCTAAGAAGCGGATATAATGAAATTCCTTAATTTACTCTTCCAGTAAGGATGGATTTGATGGATCCAAGAAACAATAAAAGTCAATTAAAAACGAGAGTGTTCTTATTCGATCTGCCTCGTGATCTTTAGAGAGTAGGACTTAAACTAAAATACTTAATAACATGGCAATACAAAGAGCACATGATTTAAACTAAAATACTTAATAACATGGCAATACAAAGATCACACGATTTAAACTAAAATACTTAATAACATGGCAATACAATTATACAAAACTTCTATCCCGAGCGCACACAATGGAGCTACAAATAACCATTGGGCAAATATAGGTTCTGATCAAGATTTGTTTTTCTGGAGTACCAAAAGCAAGCATGACGTCATTATGAACATAGAGTCCCAAAATAGGGAAACCCAAAAACAAGTTGCACATATTCCTCTGGGATCGATTGGAACAGGGACACAAAGGTGTTTATGATACAATCAATAGTTTCCAATTAGGTCTTGCTCTAGCCTCTTTGGGGGTTATTACTTCCTTGGTAGCTCAACACATGTATTATTTACCTCCTTATGTTATTAAGAAATGGCTATTTATATCTCAGGCTAAGCCAGTAGATTCAACAACGATAGAAATTTTTTGATTGATGCAAAAAGAATGATGTACAACTTTTAAATCTAGAACAGAAGAGATTCTTTTTTTTATGTAGCATCGAAATGGGTCAATATGTTTCTCGAAACAAATGAAAACATCAATTTGAAAGATATTATGGGAGTAGGCGTTCATTGTGGTCAAATACCGGGAAATCGAATCCTAGAATGGCACTTGATATATCTAAAAAGCGGAAAGGCATTCATATTACAAATCTTACTAGAACTGCTCGTTTCCCACTGATAACGAGTGGGACCAAATAATTCGATCGAAGTAGTTGTTGAACCGTACCAAATGGATCCAGCAAGGCCGAGCTTAAATTCATTCGTTTAGTGCGCCATTTGCTTGTCAGCCTTACCTTATTCCGCTAGTCTAGCAAGCTTGCCAGCCTTTCTCATTCCCATAGCTAGTCTCTTTATTTGTATCTCATACGCCTTCTTGCCATCGGATTCATAGTAGCATACTTTCCTCCCACTCCAATCATTGCTTTTCTTACTATTACTTTTAAAGTAGTTGCTTCAGCTTTCATTCGAATTTTCAATATTCCGTTCTATTTCTCATCGAAACTTCTACATTATATCATGGTTCTCTTTTGGCTGATCGATCGGCTAATAAGGATGGGGATGGGATCGAAATAACATAACTGCTGGCGAAACGACCATCCATTCCATATATTATGGGGAGATTAAGGATTAGTAATTTTTGTTAGAAATCAAATGGATTCGGTGTTATACATATGTGAGGAAGGGAATCAAAAAAGAAAAAAGAATTCTTTTTCTTTCTTGTATCACTTAGGAACCATGCGAAATGAAAATATCATGCACAGTTTTGAATGAGAGAACGAAGTGAACAATCCTCTTTTCAACTCCGACTCTTCCACTCCGGTCATAGTCCAACCACCATCCTAGGAGTTGTATGAGGAGGAAGCTCCACGTACAGTTTTGAAATCGAGTCTTCCCAACAATGGGGCCTAGGGGCCGATATGATGATTAGTTTAGGTAGGGCGGTCAACCTAGTGCATGGCACCTATAGGGATTGGTGCATGAGATCGCGATCCACAAACTGACGCATGGGACTTACCTCGGGGAATATAGCATGTCATAAGGGTGAATTTCAGGGGATGTTCCTGATATTGGACAGACTTTGAAAAAACATATTAATCGGAAGATTTGGCACTTGTCTGGAATTGAAAATGTGGGACAGGGGGCAATTTTGGGAGAAACAAAAAAGGCACATCGTGGGGGTGATCTCCACATAATATTCACAAAAAAAGTGACACATACCAAACATACGGGCCAAAAAGATGTCCATACTTTGTTTTTTTTAAAAGTAGACTAATTTCGGACTTCTAAACCCATCGACTTTCTTTCGAGTGAGAGAAGATTTTCGACATCGCCATCTCCCATTTTAGAAAAGCATAAGTGAGCGGATTCAGACATCCTATGTCCAACTTTAGATATCGAGAGTCTAAACCCTCCTACTTTAAAGAAAAGCTAAAATGAGTGGGTTTAGATGTAGTTCATCCAAATTGCCCAGTTATAAGTTTTTTTTTTTTTAAGTGAGAGATAGCCCAACAAGTTTTAGAAAATATTGGTGATTTAAGATATTGGCATTCCTTGCTCACTTTTGATTTTTTGAGTGGCATTAGTTTGGACATTGGATGTCCATGCATTCCTACTTAAGAAAAACAAAAACATAAGTTGAATAATTTGAACACCCAATATTAGAATTCATCTCCTACTTAAAAAAAATAAAATAGTGAGTTCTTCTGCATGATATACCAAATTATTTTTTAAATAATCATCTTACAAATTCCAAAAAAACAAATTATGGAACAGACATAACACTCAGAAATAAAATTTAATCATTTTGCTTTAAACAGTATTTTAAAACCAGATGGGGAGGTTAGATATGTCACTCATCGGACCGATCTGGATTGATAATCCAGGCTAGATCGAACCAATTCTTCGGAGTGAGAATGAATTGAAAAAAATTAAGTATTAATTTAAAATTGAGATTTTAATTAAAGAAATAATAAAAAAGTGAATGGATGGTTAAATGAAGATTCCATCAAAATCAAACCAATGCAGGATTAATTCCATTGGCATTTTTTTTAACACTAATTTCAGAAATTGAGCAAAATCGCTAATGACATCGTTCATCAATTTATTATTATCAATTACATATAAATATTAAATTTGTGTATAACATGTTGATTAAACATTTAGCTCCATGTATGTTTCCATATTAGAAGTACATTTTTTCCATAATAAGACCCAAAAGTCAGTTTGATTATATGATGTAGAAATGTACCAATAGCCGTTTGTAGTTCTCACTCTTTTAAAAATTTGGGGGGTATACAGGTTTTCCATAGACTGGAAGGTGTATACAAGATGAAAGTCTAAAAAATTTCCCTTTAAATTTCCCTTTAAAAAACCAAGGGGAAAATGCAATTCCGGCACCAAAAAAGCAAAAAACTTTGCGATAGCCTGCAAATCTATTTCTACCCAACTATAGAATTTGTAACACTGAATGGTACAAATCTTGTGGATTTGTAACCACTTAAAGCAGGTGGTCCAAAAAGTGGTACAAGATAGACTATTTTTAGAGTTTGAAATCCATTTTATCATATGCATGATTATAGAAGTTGGGATGATCGATTTGCCAGTTTTCTAATGACAGATCTACATTTTCCAGCAAGATTTCTATAGCTTTATAACACCACCACCGTACAGTACTTTCCTAAATAAGGACACAACTTGTATAGTCATCAATCCATTTTTTTTTGGGGGCTCATCTCGCTATTCATAAAATTTTCTATTGGATTTTGCCTCCTTTCTCTATACATATATACCTTTTAAAAAAAATTTAAAAAACTTTAGATAGATTCATGCACTTGTTTTATGGAAAAGAGATTCTTTTCTGGATAAGAACTGATAAATTTAATTTTCAACCCTCACAAAAAAGAAACTATAATTATTTCTACGAAAAACTGTGATTTCCGCAGTTGTGTTCCAAGGAATTACACCTACCAACATTTACAACACTTGTATATTGCCAAAAAAAAAAAAAGGAAAAAAAAGAAAACTCTGAAATTAGAGGTGAGAGAGAGGGCATCATTAGCATTGGTTCAAAAGCAATGCATGCAAACCTTGAGTTTCAAGGCTCCACTTCGTAGCTATACACATAATGAAGCGGTGATGGAGAGCTCAATTCACTGTCTATGGGGGAAGCTATGTCTGTCAGGTTCTTATCCACTCTCACTTCCCCCATTTCAACGTCGTCGAAAGACTGGAAAATGGGGTGCAAGTATGCGTCTGCTAAGTAAGCCATCAAGTTTAGATTCGGTTCTTCTGCCCGCTCCATTGTGTCCCTAGCCATTGCTTCCTGCAACAAAAAAGTAGTAACAATATTAAAACAGGAAAGAGAGAGAGAGAGAGAGAGAGAGAGAGAGAGAGAGAGAGTTAGTTTATTATAGACGAGAGACACAACAA